ACAGAAGAGGAAAACTTTTACCTTGTAGAAAAAACATTTACCTTGTAAAATCCTACTGGACACAAAAGTTTCTCCAGTTCAGCCGTTGGGATTTCTATCATAGCATCAACGTTGCAGCCGTGTTTTCGCAGTCTCTGAAACATAACGATTCCAAAGCACCAAAATCAATGGTTGTATAGCCATCGATCTTTGTGATCGCAGTCGTATCGTTTTCCATCCGCGTGATTTGCGCTGCGGTGCCCGCCCTACATGGGGCCGTATGCTGAATGTTGGGTAGGGGACGGGGATGGGTGAACGTTGGGGAGGTTCGTCGCAGGACCTTCTGGGCAACGGTCGCACCTTTGATTTTGCAGCTTTGTTTCCATTCTTTCATCGCTGCTTTTGGTGTAAAGAAAGGTATTTACGTGCGAATATACAATCAGAAACAGTAAAAGGATGGAAACAAAGCTGCAAAATCAAAGGTGCGACCGTTGCCCAGTGGGTCCTGCGACGAACCTCCCCAACATTTACCCATCCCCGTCCCCTACCCAACATTCAGCATACGGCCCCATGTAGGGCGGGCACCGCAGCGCAAATCACGCGGATGGAAAACGATACGACTGCGATCACAAAGATCGATGGCTATACAACCATTGATTTTGGTGCTTTGGAATCGTTATGTTTCAGAGACTGCGAAAACACGGCTGCAACGTTGATGCTATGATAGAAATCCCAACGGCTGAACTGGAGAAACTTTTGTGTCCAGTAGGATTTTACAAGGTAAATGTTTTTTCTACAAGGTAAAAGTTTTCCTCTTCTGTAGTAGTAGTGGTAGTGTACCTTTTTTTTTAAGAAGAAAGCAGTTTTCGTCAAGAAGGCGGCAGAGGTACTCAAGGAGAAGTATGACAGTGATGTTCCAGACAATATTGAAGGTGAATTTTACACTCTTGAAGACGTTTGACGTCAAACAAGTGTGTTCCTAATAGCATATGTAATAGTTTGAATTTTTAGATCTTTGTTCATTAGCTGGAGTTGGCCCAAAAATGGCTCATCTTGTTTTACAAATCGCGTGGAACAAAGTTGAAGGCATAGCGGTGGACACTCATGTGCACCGGATAGTGAATCGTCTAGGTAATTTCATGATAGTTGGAATTTATCCTTTTTGCCTTGGATTCCATACACAACCCCTAATGCGTTTTAGAATTCTGGTTTCTTGATTTTTGGTGTTTGTTGTCATATGATGTTGATAAGTTTGCTAAGGCTGGTGCCAGAGTCTGCGATACGTTGCGCGTTGTAAGGCTGCTTTCATAGTCTGCGGTCCGTGCCGTCCGCGCCGTCCGTGCGGACGGCTCGGACAGGGTGAAAAACGTCAACACGCGCTCCGGCGCACAATGCGCACTTGGCGCGCAGTCGGCCCTCGATCGATAATGCTGATTTCGACACATTTTTTCTGTATTTTGACGTTTTGTGCGCCGTTTTGCTTTTTCTTGCGGTTGCTTAGCCCAAAACTTTTCCTTTTTTGTATGGATTACTGCTTTTGCTCACTAATGAACCCACTTTGGTGTTTATTGCTACTTTCAAACACAGTGTATGAACCTAACCATTCTAGGACAGTTGAAAAGCAGTGATTCACACAAAAAAGGAAAAGGTTCTCGCGAAAAAATACGAGAAGCAAATAACTTACGACAGATGGGGGGGATTATGGATGGGGGGGGGGGTCCCCGCGGATATTAAGAGGATTCTAAAACGTATGGGGGGGTGGCCACGAGTGGGATCTCTGCCTTCGTTTAATCCGAGCGGCCGAGACATGATGGTTCGTGATTGCTTGGGCCTTGCTAGGCGTGGCGAAATCTTGTGGGCATGCCATGGCGGGGGTGGGGCTGGTATGGGTAGATGCAGCACAAGGAGCACGAGGAAAACACAAATAGAATGTGATGAAATCGCATTTATAAACTGGAAGGCGAAATTAGCATTATCGATCGAGGGAGGCGCCGACTGCGCGCCAAGTGCGCATTGTGCGCCGGAGCGCGTGTTGACGTTTTTCACCCTGTCCGAGCCGTCCGCACGGACGGCGCGGACGGCACGGACCGCAGACTATGAAAGCAGCCTAAGGCATACTCTGGCGCCAGTCTACCCATGTCAGATCTCACTAATGTAGCCGCCGGTGGGGCGTGGCGCCGCAATGCAAACCAGAGGGGTTAAAACGACACGTCCCCTTCGCGATTCTATCATCACGCCACCCTCTCTCAGCGATTGCAGTCGCGAAATTTTACACACATGAAACGTATCTCCGTCAGCTTTGAGAACATGATTGTTTGGCTAGATATGCAACGACATAATATATGTCTAGTAAGCGGTAGAAGTAGTTGTGTAAATTAGTGTTACAAGCTGTGGCAGTATCGATAGATAAAATAGCGTATGCGAACCGTTGAACAAGACCAGGGGAGCGCGATGAAGACGCGTTGCCTGCAACCACCCTGCAGGGAATTCTGTAGGGAAATTCATCGCTGAAAGGAACATCGAACTAACAACAATTCACCAATACTGCGAACATGCATGCCTCTATCAGTTCTCTTTTTCCTACGCTAAACGCGGGGAGGGCCGCTCGGCTGGATTGGAGGAAGTGATTAGAGGAACTTGGTGTGGTAAATTGGGTGAAGTATATTGTCATTCCCATAAATGCCAAGAAAGCCAGGGGTGCGCTTACGACGAAAGTGCGCTGGTTGCTGAAGGCAGTTAACTTGAAAAGCGCTCCGCCCTCAAGAAAGCGCCCACCAACTTACTGTTGGTTGATTCGGGCGAGCCGTAATTGCTATAGCGGCATCGATAGCTTCGTTCAAAGGAATTTCACTCTAAGCGGTCGTTTCTTCTCATCTGCCTGAGTAAAGCGTTGTCATTCAAGGCGTCATGTCTGTTGGCGTGAAATCGACCTCGCGTTAGCAGGTCCAGACGACCTCTTTCTTGAGCGCCGCTCAGCTGTGTGGTCGAAAATGTAAGGGGAAATTAGGGGTATTATTTGACGGTTTTTTTTTTCGGATTTCTCTGCTTTTTTCGTCATCGGTGAACCATTAAGCACCCTCACGTCGCCTATCAACCTCCCTGAAAACTATCGTCATCGCTCCTTCTTAATAAATATATTCAGGCTGGATGAAAACAAGCACACCAGAGCAAACCCGAGTCAAGCTTCAAGAAATGCTGCCAAGGTGAGATACGAGTTAAACTATTGTACTTCATCTGATTACCGATAGATGACTTGGCTACTCTTCCTTCGGATTTTCATCTTCGTTAAGTTAAGATCTCACTGGACAACCATAAATCCTCTTCTTGTTGGCTTTGGACAACAAATATGTCTTCCGATTGGGCCAAAATGTGGTTCATGTCTTTGTCAGGATATATGCCCTTCATTTACAGTGAAAACGGAGAAGTCAGTGAAGAAGAAGAAGAAGTAAGTGGTAGATGGTCATAGTCCGCAAGTTACTGTCAAATCCGTATATTGATTGATATTGCCATTTTACATTTATATACTTTTCCTTCTCTTTTCAATGAAGGAGAAAAATGATATTCCGTCATGGATTAAAGTCTCCCCCGGAAAGTGCTGGGAACGAAAAAAATGGATACGGTGGCCTCGCACCTCGCAAGGCCTTTACGCCCTTGTTGCGTACTTTAGAACAGAAGGAATGGGATATCTGTGACACTTGTGAATAGCTTTGACCTATTTAGCAAAGCGATTCATCCACCTGAGCTCATCCTGGATTGTGCCGTTGAAAAATGGGTCACACAGGTTATTTTTTCAGAAAATGTGGTTTTATCTAGAAAATGTTCAGGATCGAAATCCAGGAACGAACCGAAGTGGAATGAAAGAAGCAGAGTTGATGAATTTTATTCCATGTGCATATGTACGATGATAATTCCATTTAAACCGGTTAGTTTCTGAGATTTATAACTCCTCTCGAATTCATTGTTTTTTATCTCCCTAAAACTTTCGAAGATCTCCGAATTTTACTTGCTTTGTATAGTGCTGCGACTACTAAGGGATTAAGTGTAATGGCACATTAACTAGAGATTCTCAGAAGCTTTACCTTTGACCTGACCGATGTATATAGCTAACCCGTTTTTCCGCGTGATTTTTTCGCTTCGAATTTCTTACTGTTGCATTCTGAAGAAATCTGTTCTCAGTAGTTTTTCATTTTTGTTTACATGTAGAGTTAGGTTTTTATGCCATAGATGTATATGAAAATGCTCCAGTGGTCTCTCTGCGTTTCTATTTGGGAAAGAAATCCGAAATTTTCAGAGGGTTGTTCAGTTTGAAACTAAGAAATTGGGACACTTGTCTCGTCTACCATAGAAAATTTATTAATTGACCTTGGTGGTCAAAGAACGGTGTAATTTCAATTTTCTTTTTTTTTCGACTCTTTCTCTATCTTCCTTCCTTTCTTTTCTTCCCACTCTTTCCTTACCTTTCAGACTCACTCCCTACCACCAAAGTCCCATTCAACTTGTTAACTGCACCAATAACAACCCAAAAGGATCAATAATTTATGTATTAATAATTCATAATTTTTGTATTCTCATAAATCACAAAATTAATCTATGGCCGTTGCTCAGCACATCGACTGTGTGTGCTAATGTAAGTTGACGATTCTCTCGAGATAACGCGACACTCGGGTGTATAGTGGTCACGAGCCCTAAATAGCATGCATTTAGAAATGGTAATACAGTCGCTGTTTTCTCGGAGTAAACAAAGTCATAAAAAATTGCACAGTCAACCCACTTAAGCGAGTGTATGTTTGTTGATTATACGAAGTTCCAATACAGCTTGTAACCGAGAGTTTACTTCAGTAGCTAGCTGTAATGATCTTTTCTCGCTTCCCGTAGTGAAAATCGATCCCATCAACGAGTAAGAAGCACCTTTTCGTGATAACGGGACCTGTAATAAGACGAGCTTGATAACCTTGTGTGCCTGGCTTTTCGTCCGAAACAGTTTTTTATTAGTGAGGTCTCATTTATGTAGGTGGAATGCGGAACAAGCATTTACAGTACAAGATTAGCAACAATTAATCCTACGACGGTGGGATTTCGCATGAAGTTGAGGTGCATAGAGAAATAATCGATAGTGAAAACTATTCAACAAGTTAGAAACTGTTGAGAACTTCATCAGAAGGGACACAATCAATTCAACTTACCTTGCACAACTCACACAGTCCATATAGCTACAATCAGTTTTAATTTTGAACAATTGAGTAATAAGACTTCAGAAGAAGTTGCGTACTTATCAAGATAATTCCGGAAGGAATATAATAAAGAGGCTCTCAAGTAGCTGCCCATAGGTGTTGAATTATCACTTAAAAGGACGATGAATGTTAAGAGTTTCCCAAGCGACACTTGGCACCATACGGCGGCTTCTTCAAATGGACTACCTAGCGCTCAAGAATGAAGGCGTTGTGTTCTTAGAATTCAACGTTTATAGCAACTGATCAATTGAGAGAAGGCAGTGTTGGTATTATATGGTGGTATGTAGAAAGCTGAAATGGATATCGGAAATCGAAAGATTAAATCGATATTGTAAAGGGAAATTTTCTTATTAAGCAAGGCGAGCGGTGGAGTTACTTTATATCTTACTTGCTATTAGAAGATCAGCGATCGTAAGCCACAAAGTAGCAAACTGCAATCAGCTCGGGAAAAGCAATTTTCGCGCACTCGACCGTATCATATCCGGGACGCATAGGCTGTTCGAAAACGTAGTCAAAGAAATGGATTTGCGAGGGCGATATCAATAGGAAATTTCAAAATCGTTAGAAAAAATCTGCAACGAAGTGAACTTTGGAGGTTGTGCGTTGGCTATGTGGGATTTTTGCCCACATAGCCGATGGTCGCTGATACGCTTGTAAGAGATAGTGGGATCATAAAGGGTTAATGCGATGCTCTCCATGAGTGGATTACAATTTGGAGTTCGAAGGGTGTGGAGATCAGTAGAGTAACGCATGTAGCAGGTGCTGAAAGAAGCTCTGTTAAATAATGGGGTGTGGGTACTTAGGACAGAACGCGACTTTTTCGCTCTTCGCAACGCGACATCGCGCGGCAGGCTGGCGCACCCGTAGCGAAAACAACTACGGTATATAAGAACGCGCGATTGGAGCAGCTTTTTTGCATGCGTGAATTTGTAAGTTTCTGATTCCTTACTTGCCCGCGCTCACACCCATTGTATTGATAAATGCGGTGAATCACTAATTCTGTCTCATTATTGAAAACGTTTTGTGACTTACACGATTCCGGGCGATGCCACAAATGGTGTTTTACGAATTATCGGTGAACGAGGGTTTAATAGTGGCCGACACGCACGAGAACGAGGGTTCAAATAGTGTCGCTTTGCTTGCATTTTGTGGGTTCATATTGTTGTATAGACATCTGCATAAGGGTATAACATCTTTTACGGAACGCTTCTGTCCTCATCACGGATATGATACTCATTTTTGACGCTGGCGCCATTTGGGGCCGGGTGGCGCCACAACTGATTCCCACTAAATTCGCTGTAAACTTCTGTATAGGGGTTATTTCGGGGTCCTGATTTGTTGTTAGCGCTATTCGGCGCCTGCTTCCTGCTCGTCTGCGCCCTCGCACTAATTAGATCGCAATAGGACTAAGCCTTTGAGTAGTGTAGGGCTCCAAAGTGGGTAGGCCATTCCCCTGTGGTCTGACACACTCCAACTTTTGCCACACGGTGCGTGGTTTACCCACTCCGGAGTTTCACTCCCCTCCCCTAAGCTTAGTCGTAGGCGCTGTAGGTGAGAAAGCTTAGAAAGCAGAAAGTATGCGTTAAACAGCACGAATGTGAAAAATGAGTGTCATATTCATGATCAGGGCCCCAAATAACCCCTATGCAGAAGTTTACAGTCGTCTCATCAAACGTCCATCAACCATTCCTCTTCCAGGTTCTCCAGAAGCTCTACCATCCATCTCTGCAAAAATAACCTACCTCCCTCTTCACTGCTAGTTAGCGGTCCACTTCTGGTTACCATTTCCTCGTTCATTATCAAATCCATGGCTATTAAGCTTCAAACTCCTTGTCGCAATCAAAGCCGACACAAATATCGCGCTCCAATCGCGCGTTCTTATATACCGTAGTTGTTTTCGCTACGGGTGCGCCAGCCTGCCGCGCGATGTCGCGTTGCGAAGAGCGAAAAAGTCGCGTTCTGTCCTAAGTACCCACACCCAAAAATTATCGGATAAATCTACTAGTAGAATGGCAAAATTTTGTAATCATTATCATTCCGAAAATCGACTCACTTCGTTTTCTTTTGTAATTCCTCTAAACAATGCCGTACGTGTTCTTCCAAGAACTCGATCTTATCATTTCTTCGCGCGAGCTTCTTTTGCAATACAATAATCTAAACGCAAATTGTAATTAAAAAAAGTGAGCACACCACGTTCGCCATAATAAGCTTACCTTATCTATCATAACTTGTTGAATAGCAGTGGATTCTGTTGACGCTTGCGCTGACTGAGCGCTGTCTTCGTCTCGGGAAACCGTCTTAACATACGAGAGCATTTATGTACGATTGAATACAAAATAGGATGTTATTGTAAGCTTAAAAATCACGACGAAGCCGTACCGTCACTCTGTCGAGGCTATTCAACGAGCTTGCTCTTGATCGCGAACTCGTACTTGGCACTGAATCTCCTGATTGAGGTGGGGCTAGTGGAGCATGGGCGCTGCTCGTATCCACTTGTTTTCGAAGGCTTGACAGTTCATGTTTCAGCTCCTTAACAAATTCGCCTGCTTCGATGGATTTGAAGTGTTCTAAGCTCTTCTATCTCATAGAATGTAATTTTATGACATAGAAGAAGAGTTCGCAAAGGATAAATGGACGTGTCTTTCGAACTTTTTCCATGAATGAGTTCCAGTGAAACTTTTAAAAGGCACGGATTGACGACTAACTTTGATATTTGCCATGTACTTCTTCTTGAGCGCCACGTTATCAGTTCGCTCTTCTTGCAACCGTTGAGTTAGCTGTTGGACTGAAACACGAGCTTCATCCATGTTGTTCGCGTATAATGTGTGTGGAATTTCTCATAGATTTCGTACCTTTCACGATCTTTTCATTAAGCTCACTTTTCAATGACGCGATCTCAGTCTGTCCACTTCCGGTAGCCTCTTCAAGATCTTTCTCCTAGAACGAGCACAAAATCATGTTTAGCTAAAACCACGCGTACAGTTCATATCTGACCGTCTGATTAGGCGGGTCTACGGAATTGACAGGCGAGTGGAGCTCCACTTGGTAGAAGTCGCGCGGATAAGCCGCT